ATGCTATCGAAGCAGAACTGGCGACAACATGTTATTTAATGGAATACTAAATTTAATCGACGTTTGTGCAATAAGGAGATTATTACGGTGGTATCTTTCACAAAACCTGAAATGATGGTTAACCTACGTGATATACCTACAGCTAATGTAGGGAGTGGTCAACTACTGTCGTTAAATGCATTAGGATCAAATTGTGTGCAATATATCATGTTGCGATATAATTTCATCAAGCAATAATGTAAGGCGATATTTCTTCGCGCCATAAGGGATTTGTTGTCATTAAGTATCACTTGGTACATCATTAAGTGTTATGGTTATATTGTTTTTGATACTTACTTGATTAGATATCTCTTTAAAGGCTCTTTATTTATGTATTGAAGTCTGAAACATGGTTGCATACCGTAAAATCGTTGTCAGTAGCTGACTGACCTTTTCTAAATTTATAATGTACTCGCAAGAGCACATCAATCTTTACATTTTGAACTTTGGACCGTTGTTATCGTAATCGGTACAGATATGAATTTAAATCTGAATGGTCAAGTTTGGTAACCTCTTTGTCCTGTACGTGGGTAAAGGTTTATTTTTATAATATCAAGTGACGGGACGAACAAGTGTGCGCCTGATGGTAAGCTATATGCCTGTCCATAATAGTTTCAGTGCTACTCAGAGCTTTAAATCACAAAGATCACCCAGAGACATAAATTGACAAGTCTCATGTGTCTGTAATTTCACCAGCACCCTTATCCTTTAAAACCGGAACACAGTAATGCTGACATTACTGCTGGGCGGTAGAAATAGGTAAGGTGGCAGTACCTGGATGGATTCTTTCACAAGGTTAATATAAATATACTTGAATTCGATTCAAATATATTTTATGGATATTAAACAGCTACGATTAAAATACTAATATCCATTTTTTTTATAATAAAAATAACTGCGCTTTTGACCTTCATCTTACCTGATGGAAAGTGATGATGAGGTCGACGATTGACACTTCTAAATAAAGCCTTATTCACTCTTTTGTAAAGGCCCAAGTTACAGCGTTCAGGGATTAAGTCTGCACGCAGGGCATTCCACTACAAAGCTGTTCGCTGTATAAATGTGGAAACGAAACGTTTCGTGCGAATCCTTGGAATAAAATATTAAGATGTTTTACTCTCATGATATTAAAATATTTTTGTGAAAATACTCCAATACATACACAACAAGCACATAGAAAAATTTGTGAGGTCCGCTGGTTCGTTCCGTGGCTTAGTTGTATAGCGTCTGACATGGTTTGCTAGAGGACGTCGGTTCGAATCCGGCCGGGTCGAAAGAATTTTTTCTGAGTGTTCGATCTTTGTATTAATAATTATAACAAACTAGTGGAGTAATTTCACAAAAAATAATTGAATAACAATTCAATAAAAATTTAAAATACTCCACTAGTTTGTTATTATCATTGGTACAAAGATCAAGCAACACAAATAATAACTTTAGACTCGCTCGGTCTGTATCTAAGTTGGTCCGAGTCCAGTCAGATCGAAGGAATTTTTCATTGTGTTGTTGGATCTTTGTATCAATAATACTAAATAATACAAATATACGTAGCTATATAATAATGCCATTATCGGTTCAAAATGTACCTAAAATAATCCTGAATAGAATCGTACTTCAAAGAGACACGGTTTTATTACGGATTATTTTCCCTAAGTTAGAATCCACGTTCTCAAATGGTCCATTTCTTGAAATTCAGCATTTGAATTTAAAACATTTCGAATGTTACAATGTCCCTCAGAATTAAAACAAGCCGATACTATTTGTATTCTGATATCACGGTGGGTCGTATTTTAACTAATAAAGGCTAGAAACATCCTTAAAGCGTTGCTAAAAAGAATTTAATATTTCAAAAGAAATAAGCCTACCTTTGAATTTACATATGTAACTGGCCAGTCTCATACAACTTAGAATTTGAATTTAAAACAGATCGAACGTTTCAATGTGCTTTTGAATAGAAAATGAGACGGTGCTATAATACGTATACAAACACCGGCACATTAAGCGGTACAAACAAAAAGTGAGAATACAAAAATAAGAAATAGAAATAAAGTAGCAATTACATTAACATCGACTTAGTACTTACTGGCGAACTCAATCTTTTTTGAAAAAAAAACATAATAAACAAAATGCATATTTTTAGATGTAGTAACAAAGCAGTAATGGCTGAAAATTTAAAAAAATGCAAGTAAAGTTTACATAATTGACTAGAAAGCAAAATAACTTCCAACCACTCGACAAACCTGTACTAGGAGGAAATGAATGAAAAAATGACTAATGACGTTTAAACCCAATACAAAGATCCGTAACCAGCACATGGGGAAACGATCGACGATCGTTCGGGTCCGGTCGGGTCGAAAGAATTTTCCTGTGTTTGTTCGACTTTGTATCAATAATACGTCAACTAGTTTTATATTTTCGAATTACGTCTGAAATAAGAAAGTTAAATAACCGGTCGGAAAAAAAACATTGTATTATTTCGGAGATTTTACTAATGTTCCCCTAAAAATGCTGGTGTGTGTAATATTTTGGAGTCACGCCACACACTTGTGTCTATTTATGTATTATGCGTATGTTGGTCGATACCTCAAGCTCATTTCGTATATTCTTTATCGATTCTGATAATATTCTGAGCTACTTTTAGAACCTATAATAGTGGATCTCATACTGACTATTTTTATATCAATATTCCTTTTGTACGTGTAGGAAACAAGTTATTTGAAATTCAGCAAATTGTCAGAATTTACAGGTGCAGGTCAAACTACCAGAACGTATAAACGGACTATCTATATTCAGCGAAATCGGTGTTAGGTATTACGTAAAAAAATAATAATTTAGAATAATTCATCATTTCTCGATATAGTCCTATAATTCATGCCATGGTGAAAGCCACACGTGATCATGCGTCAAAAATGCTTTTATCACATGAAAGTCTTCAAAATAACGCGAACTACGTGAAACAAATTATTTATATAAGAAAATAATAACTCTCCTTTTATTACGATACAAATTGACGGAACGAACAAGTCGTGTGCCTGGTGGTAAGCGACACAACTGTACATAACAGTTGCAGTGCCACTCAGAGGTTTAAATCACAAAGATCTGAAAGGCACTGCCACTGCGCCCGTCACCCTGAGACATAGTTGACAAGTCCCATATGATGCTCACATTACTGTTTGGCGGCGGTAGTGTTGTAGCGTTGTTTTTTGTCGCCCGGGGCTAACCTAACCTTAAATTTGTTACTCTCTCTATTCTCACGATTACAGAAGTTCTATTTCGGTTCAGTTCGTTCGGGCAGGTTTAGATCGATTGTGTTTTGTGTTAGCCTGCCGTCGCCATTTTTGTGTTGTTCAGGTTATCGTTTTCTCAAATAGTGAAAATTATTTTCTAATTTTAAATAAAAAAAAACAGTACTTGAGCCATGGCCCCCTCTGCACTCCCCACGCTACGCCACTGGGCGGTGGTAGAAACAGGTAGCCACCTTACCTATTTCTGGACGTATTATATTTTGTTCTTCCCTGGACGAACTCTCTCGCAAGGAGCTCTACTGAGCACAAAAAGCACAATCGTTTTGGAGTTCTGTTATTTGATAAAACTTGAAAGGTACCTATTTTATAAATAAGAAAAAGGTGAGAAAACATGTCTTGTCTGTCCAACGGTGTACTCAGAAGTTCGTTATAACTAGTCAGATATGAACTAAACACTCGTTTTTACATATCGTCGGCTGAATTCGTAGCTTCCATTAGATGAACTTTTGAGTAGACACAAAAAACAGAACTACTAGAAATAATTATACGACAATCTATGATTATACCTTTACTTCATAACTTAAAAAGAGTCTACAAATCATATTGTTGCAGTAATAAAATGCTGCAAATTATTTACTGCATCCATGGCCGAACGGTGACCATACTGGGTTGCCATGCATAGGTCTCGGGTTCCATTCCCGGGCCGTGAGAAATATTTATATGGCCTACGTGGGCCTATATTTATTTCTCTCGCGAGTTTGGCTGTAATTAGTGGTAGTCAATGTGTGTGTCCATGTACCCGCTATATTATAATATTGATATTATTTATATTTTAAGTTTTAGTTGCCCGACATTGTGCTTGTAGAATAAAAAAGAGATTTCGTTCAAAAACGGAGTTAAGAGGATTTCAAATTTAGCTGTCGATATGTGTATTACGACCTCTTGCACTAAAATGATTTGTATTTTTTTAATGTTGATGAGTGTATTATTTCTTCATGTATATTAAAAATATGTTTACTTTTGTGTAGATGTAATACCTAAATTTGTAAGTACCTTTATTTGCTTCACAAATGTCGTGCTTAGTTGTCATAGGAATGTAAATTTACTCCTACTGTTATGCGCGTTAATTATAAACAACTTCACAGTTTGTATTCTATGGTTATGCATTGTGTAAGAGTTCGTCCAGAGACGTACTGCCATCTTACCTGTTTCTGCCGCCAAGTAGTAACGTCAGCAGTACTGTGTTCCGGTTATGAAGGGTGTGCTGGTGAAATTACAGGCACGTGGGACTTGTTAACTTACGTCTCACGGTGACGGGCGCAGTGGCAGTGCTCCTCAGATCTTTTGCGATTTAAAGCTCTGAGAGGCACTGCAACTGTTATGGACTGTGTAGCTTACCATCAGGCGCACCACTAGTTCGTCCCGTCTCTTGATATTATAAAAAAAATTAAGTAGATTTCCTTTAACTCTTATTTGCTGAAGGGTTTGTATACGTTATTATTAGTTATTTTGCATTTTTTATTTCGTCGTCTATAATATTAATATCTGCAATTATGACGAAAATAAAATTAAATCACAACAGAAAATATGGCTTTGTAAATTGGCAGATGTAAATAACTTTATTACGTTTAAATTGTGAGTTTATTCGATTGTTAAAGGAGACATTGTCTATTGTCTAACTAGGACAGAAAGGTAACTTCTGTTATTTGAACTCACCCGCATATACTGCAGTAGAATTATGTTCTGGGTCGTAAGGACAGACTGCTTGACCAGACTTTTCTCTTTCCATGTGGTAGGAGTCTCGCTGGACGCTGTACTCCCTGCAGAATGGCTTGAAGCTGTTCGTACCGCAGACCAGGAGCCTCCCAGAGCCCAGGGAGACCAGCACGCGGATATAGTTCTGGCAGCTTTCCTGTAATTACATTACTCAATTCATCATTTGTTTTCTTAAAATACATGTACAATTAAATCAGTTATTGTTAACGTTTATTTTTTAACGTTCTGAGTAATCAACGCAATTTTCTTTTGCAAGTAAATGTCAAGAATACGCCATTAAAATGAACTGAGAGATCGTCTAGTTATGAAATGGGACTTCTAATTGAATAGGCCGGTTCGAACTTAAATCGATGTTAGTTTTAAACAATCATATAGGTAGGAATAGAAAAATATCAGATCCATTTATAGCAAGTAAATAAATAATAAATAACGCACATACTCATAGCCCCGCACTAGTAAAACTCTGTGTCGCGGGTGCCATGGACATAGAACACCATAAATTACACCCAAACTCACGAGAGAAATAAATATAGGCCATACAAAAATTTCTCCCGGCCCGGGAATTGACCTTGGAATCTCTGCGTGGCATACATGGTAACCGTTCGGCCAGTGAAGCAGCAAACTTGAAAGTTTAGTATATATACACATATATCTATATATATATCAATATATATATCTCT